TGTATTTGGTGACAAAGGAGAAACGTATCGTATTAGCTCTTCTGATTATCTTCTTGCCACGGTTGCTGGCGGACCGTGCTCTTGACACTCCTGTGGGCCGTTAGTACTCAAGGTGAATCGTGGATTTTTGCGTACGAACCCTTTGGCACTTTCCGTCCAAACAATCTCTGCAAGAAGGATTGCCTTCGAGATGATGTATGCTGCGCTTTCTGATCATTCATATCATCCATTAACCCATCTTCATTCGAAGTATGCTGGTCTTCGTCTTCACACATTATCTTCCTTGGTTCGTTGATTAAAGCGTCATTCAGTCCTGGATACACGGTTAGAGTATGCATTGACACCTAATTTCCATATCATGTGGGTCTACCATTTGAATCAAAGCTCATCGTTGACTGATTCAGTTGGGATTCGTTATTATTTTCTATCTGATGGTATATGCCATTCGGCGCGTGAACTGCTTGGTTAGTGGTAGCTTGAACCCACCAGATCAAAGGTTCTTACCTCGTTCTAAATCATATAGCCCGGCAAAGCTGATGGCAATCAGCTCATCTTCATCACTCTGTGACATCTCTATTCCGAATCAGCAAATGAGGCCTGTAACGACTAGGCAAAGAGGAAGGCCAACAGACTTCGGAATGACCATGAATCTCGCAACTTCCTCGCTCTTCTGGTAAAGGACTGCTGATCCATATTCGCTCCGGGGGGGACCGGGAACTTCGCGCCCACTGATGGTCTCTGAGCTATGCTGGGACTTCGACTGTGGCAAACATTCCCTATCTCCCTTTGTATGTCGCGTGGGTTGATGTCATCGCGGGGATCGTTCAATATAGGTTGATAACTGGCCTTGGAGTGAGTATTTGACATATGAACACAAGACTAAATGCATAACTTACGAGACATTGCACTTCTCTCCGCAATGTTTGCAGTTGACATAGAGAGGCGCATCTGCGACAGCATGTCAGTTCCCTTTCCAACCGACGACAGCATGAAGCATACTAGGTTGACGATCTGGTTTCTCATCCTCCTCCCCAAAGGTGAAGATCTTATCACAATAGTCGCAGAAAAATCGAATCGGGCGACAGTTTACTGGTATTAGACGCTTCTCCATACGATAGCCTTTGGTGATCAATCTAAAACGGAATGCGCGATCAGCATACCGGTATCCGGAAGAGACGGGATGCAGGAAACAATACCGATCTCGGGTCATCACATATACCGCGACTGCAGTCCCGGGGCAGTATTTCGTCAAATAATGCTGTTTCAGTTCGTTGCTGTATGCCAGTCAGATCCCGTTCATTCACCACTCGAAAAAGGCAGCCAGTCGTACGGTGAGGAGAATATCGCATCACAGTCGGGACATTCTATGTCCGCAGCACCGAATGTGTCTCCATCGTCATCGTGAAAAGGCGGGAACAGATGTAAGACTTTCTTGAAATTCTCCACCCCAGCTTGTACATCATCTGTCGATTCTACCGAGGTTGAGATTAGGTCAGTTGCGATTACAATCCAGACCGTCCGTCATGCAATGTAGGTATCCGAGGAAGATAGCGCACCATTCGTAGATCTACCAGCCAACGATAAGAGGACGTCTGAGCCTCTCAGTATGCGGGTCTGGGTGTGGAATAATCTGCTGGGGGCGCCGTGGGTGGAATTGCCGAGGATTATCTCTTTCTCATATTGCCGTTTCGCATCCGTCGGTGATAGTTGCTGGTCGATGACGTTGCTGGCCGACCATTAGTGAGCCGCAGCAGGGATATAGGGTCTATTGTCTCACCTATGCACCGTGTTTGTGTATGAAGCATAATCCACAGCCATTTTGAGGGCAAGAGCAGAGGGAGGGGTACAAAGGAGGGCGTGAGGGTTCGACAAAAAAACAAGACACAACGGAGACTGACAGCGTCGAGGAATGACGACTGTTTCGAGTGTCAAGTAGACAGAGTTTGAAAGAGAAAAGCAAGCGTCAGGGCCAGAGTGGGTGAGGCGTCATTTTCAATGAACTGGACGGCTGAAGGTTTTGGCGCGTGCATACATGCTCCATGCATACATATGCAGGTCAAGCTCGGTGGATTCATCCTTTCTTCCCACAGTAAACGGTAGTGCCGCATACTTGGGTAGTTTCAAGGAGGAACTGGGGGGGGGGGGAGGGTCGCCTCTAGCGTGGTCGGGACTCACCATCCCTCGCATGGGTCGTGTGGAAACGAAGTTTCAAGAAGGTTGAATGAAGGTGGATGCGGTGGTTGTGGTTCTTGTTCTGATAGTTCTTGGTAGTGTTGGTGGTGGTGGTAGTGGGGAGAGAAAGATGAGGGAAGGAGGGAAGAGAGGGGGAATTTGGTTTATTGGGTTTGTCGGTCTCCTTCTTGCATCTTGCATCACCATCCAACGTCACTTCATGTTGCTTTTTCCATCCTCTCGATTGTATCCTATCCTCATACTGAACGACAATGTCTGTCGACCTTTTTCGAGCGGCTCCCCTCGTTTCGCTCCCCTTCCAATAACAGACGAACCCCCTTGCATTGAGCTTCTTCTTCTTCTCCCTCCAGAAGCCGAGAGATACAAGCAGCCCACATCTCAGCAACTTGTCAATCGCTCACCGCATGACTGAACCACTTCCTTGAGCGGACTAAACGAGCCCGATAGATCATATTTTGAGAGTTCCGTGACCCATTCATCTGTCATATTCGGTCTGGGGGGAAAGAAATCGAACTGTTCTTTCCTCGTTCCGCGATCGACGCGTTTCGAGTGCGCGTTGGCCCGAAGGAAGAGTGATACATCACAAATCCGGCAACGCGGGTCCAATTTTCCCAATAATTGACCGGGTTATGGGATAGCTCCGGCAATAGTCGTGTCCTGGCTTGGGGAACCTTTTTTTCCTCTTTGGCCTCTTTTCCAGAAGCGTGGCATGAAGATGATCCTAGTGGCTCTCTATCATTCTCCTATCGAATCGGCCGTGGTCGGACGCGATCCCGAACCCTCAAGATCGCACACCACATTCCTCCAAACCTTTCTCTGAGCTACCAAATTCTAGACTTTATGAGACAGAATCTGCAGGTACGGTTAGCTAGAGCCCGCAAAGAATGAGCGATGAATATCGCCAAAATCTTTCCACGAATACTCCTTTTTTTCTGTTGAAGGTTTACTAGCGCTTCGAGACAATAGTCCTGGAGTTTGTTTATTGTACTGTAACTACTTAGAACGGTACCTGAAGGGAGCCGACGGGCGGGCAGCTTTAAAGTTTAGCCCTTATCGCGCAATGCTGTCCGGATTGTCCACCACCACCACCACCCAGCAAATGCAATGCATCGCTTAAACTGAAAAGCTGTCAGCTATCTCAGATCAACCAGATTCCTGCATATACCACGCAATCTCTCCACGCTGCTCTGTAGATCACTCGCAAATTGTGGGTCAGTGTGCACAGTACGCACAATTCCCGAGCTGGTAACGTCAGGGGGCGTCCAAGGCCATGCGAACACAAGGATCGACTGACCCTGCCACAAGGATCTTCCGATCTATATCTGATGCTTCTTTACCCGAGGCCGTTCCAGGGCAGTGGATGACAATCGCCCGCCTGGGGGTGGGTAAGTTGAACAGATGACTATATAACCCTTCAGTCCCTTCGAAGCTAGATGATCTATTCGGAAAGAAGAACATAAATTAGCGATCAGCTACTTTCGTCCGATAACCCTCGACCTCTGTTGCCAATATCAGTACAGCCACCGGTGCTCGCATTACGTCAACTCGTAGGAGTCACTCTAGGGTTACCTCCACGCCACTTAAAATAGAAACGCTACGCCTTGATCTCTAAGCACCTCCTTTGGCTTTCAGTCTCCCATCCAGGTGCGCACCTTAACCCAAGAAGAACGATCAGGCTCAGTCCGCTCAGCCTAATCCCTGTATACACCACGCCTTCATGGCCGCGGACGATCAGTTGACTAAGAGGGGTCAGTTGATTGACGTGGTGTCGAGCGACCCGGCCACCAGGTAGACAAGATCGATGAACCAAGGAACTACGGTTCCTCCGAGGAGAACCGTTTGTGTAGAATACGGGGATGTGTACGGAGTATGCGGCCGGAAATTCGCTTACAGTCGCGGACCCGTTCCTGGTACTCATGCACCTGGAGCTATGGACCCACGGTTTCCGGCCTTTGTGGGGTCCGCGGAGAGGCTTCTTGTAGTGGAGGTATCCAGCCTAGCAGCGGCGAGGTTCGAGATTTTAGGTGGATTTAAGCGGACGCGAGCGAGACCAGTAGATTAGTGGGTCAAGCTAATGCTGATAAGCAATCCATGACTAATTGTTTTATCATGATAGTCCTCTGCGGTCAATCAATACGACTTGATTCATCTCTGCTTGGAGTATGGTTAGCGAGATTCAATAACAGTAGAAGCATTGAGGAAACTCATCAAGGGTGAAGCCTTGACAAAATCACTATCCTTGCCTGACTGATTCAACAGAGGCAGAGCTCATGGAAATACATGTTGCTTCTGGTGGGTTGTGGTTTCTGGGATGGACATTTCGAAACGATGTAGCAGGCTCATGAGTAGCAATTTGTTCGCGCGGTATGCGTTGTTTTATGCACACACCATCTATATCTGCTGGCCTGCATCTTATTCACCTTTGCTATCCTTATTCCCCACCCAAGCAAGCTTCATCCCACAATGCCGCATAGCCTAAGCAATTTCGAAATCGGAAGGCCAAAAGCCGATCGAAGGCATTCACACCTCTTTGGCTGCGGCTCTAAGATATCTCCTTCCACAATCTTGGAGTGAACAAGAACCTCTGAAGTCAAGCAAGTAGTCTTCGCTGTCGCCCTGCGGTAGGACTGGAAATCTTATATACAGCTTCAAGGGTCTGGGAATGCCCTCCCGATCTGGGCATTCTTTGCACAGTCACTACTTCCAGCTCCCGGTAATGCTGCAATGCATGGGCGAACGAGATCTCTATCTGGCACCAATTAAGACATTTATATGGCCGGTGTGGGCTGTAAAAGGGACAGCAAGCTCTATCGTGACCAAGGGGGATGTCTGGGCACAAGACGCGAATCCTCGAACTCGGAGCGTTCTGGAGGAGCATGGTCCGCCAATGGTCGCGCCAGTAGCAAGCATAGGGCCTGTTGGGTGGGCCTTCCGAGATTTGTGGTACGGCAATCTCCAAAATGGCGCGTCACGAACTGCGCGATGTCGAAAGATATGCCCGACTGGATCATGCGGAACGCAAACAAGAGGGCCCTGCGGATCTTCGGAGAGGTTTCAATGAGATCTTTCCATACGGAGCACACGCGCGTGGACATGAGGATGCTGTACATGTCCACATCTACAAGGGTCAGCTCGAGGATTTCGGGGATGAAGAATATCCTAGATGCTTCTGGCCTGGGAGTTATCTCCGGATCCAGCGTTTCGGCTGAGTGTAGTCCTGAGTCCGAGGAATCATCGGAATCTGACAATCCATCGGTTGCTGGTGCCATCTCTGAATCCTAGAAAGATTGAGCCGGTCGAACGGTTCTTTGCAGTATAGCTATCTTGGAAAACTTGGGGACTATCGTACTGATTAACGGGAATCGACAATTAGAAGTGGTCTGTTGCTGGTCTCTTTGATATTAGACATTGGACTAGGTGCTGCTGGATAATTCTATGGTTATGGGAGGTGGCGGCCATCAACAATGAGTCAATTCTTGCTGCTGGTGTCAACATCACATCATGCTCGTCATCCTGACCTAGAATCGCTGTCAACCTCATAACACCGACTCTCTATGTCGGCATGCCGTCTGCTTGGGAAGTCAACGGTTACGAGTAAGATTGAGCTTTACTCCAAACCTCCATCTATTGTACTCTCTTGGACCCGCAGGACTAGTGATATATTTCTCTATGTCAGACAAAGCTCATAAAAGTCGTCACACATCGCGGACCCGCAATCAATGAAACAGTATACAAATATGTAAAGACGGTGGTATCAACCCCCACATCAGAAAAAACACCGAGGCTGAGACAAGAAACTCCAACATGCAAGGCTAGTGCTTAATATGAGCATCCAGCCTGATAGACAAAAAGTCCAGATCACTTCACAGCCCAGTAAAACATGCACTACAACGATTTGGCCCATTTCCACCCCGAAGTCCTGGACTCAGGACTATTGATGACCGACGACAGGAGACTCTCACTGGGCGGAGTCCGACGCCCTTGCCCTTCCTGCCGATTCCTGTGCTCCCGCTTGAGCAAGGAGACCGCTGCACTGGCATTGATCCCCTCGCCGCTGTCCGTGATCTTCAAGGCCCACTTGGCGTCTTCCTCCTTGAATCCTAGCTCTCGAACCAACAGGTCCATGGCTTTGTCTGTTGGGTCTTGAACTTGCGGATGTCGGAGGACAGGCGCAGTACTGTGCTGGTTTAGAGCTGGCACGGTAGGGCTGCCCCTTGGAGCAGAGATCAAGCTCTCCGCTCGGGCTGATCCGCATGATTGACCTTCCAGGCGGCTGATAATCATTTCATAATGAGAGATCGGTCGCTCTTCTACGAGCGGGGGTGGTTTGGGTAGGTTCATGGATTGCTGTTTTTGGAACTTGAGCTGCACCGAGTAGGCTGCTTGTCTGCGGCGCTGCATGTCCAGCGAAGGATCACTTGTCACGGCGTTTTCGCTCAAAGGGGTGTTATCGCAAATGCCGAACGGACTGGATGCTCGGGATGACGACTCGGAGCGGTTCCCTCCCCGTGGCTTATACGCTTTCGATGCAGCGTCCCGCAAGAACGATGACCGGGTGGCAACGGTGTCCGAGGACAGCCAGCTCGTCAGCCCCATGGATTGGGCTTTCCGGAAATTAGCCAAAACGGTATTTTCATCTGTTGTGATCGACCCGAGGGTCAATACTGCCGATAAACCGAGCGTGAGGATATAATGGGTCCATTCCTCTGTTCATACACCACATTAGCTCAGGTGAACATACTCGAAATTAGTTTAGCAGTCAGAGCAGGTTGTGCTCTTACCTAGAACTGCCTCCTCCTTTGCAGTGGCATTGTCTTTCACGTTGTGTCCATTAAACACCCCCACGTCTCGTGCCATTCTAGCTTTCCCATGCATGGGCTGAAGCAGTACGCCAAGGCAGGTCCAGATTTCAATCATGCTGTGTAGCTGCTTCTGCGATAAACCGCCCGTGTTACCATGTCCAAACCCCGCAGGAGGCTCAAACAAGACGCTACCCATGTCGAAATGATCAGTGATAGACTGTGCCACAGAGGCACGCTGGTCGGTAATATTTACCCCGCCTTCAAACCATGCCATTTGTCCGGCGATATCACCCTCTCTGTGCTTGCCGCAGCCAAATAAACGGCAAAACGTCCAGACCCGCCAGAAGGCTTCATCGACCTCGGTCGCACAGGCATCGTCCAGGCCAGACAGCCCACGAATCGTATCCGGGCGCAAAAACGATGAACATCGGGCTAGGATGATGGACTTCAGCTGGGCGACGGTACAAAGATCTTGCGCATAGTGTTTGAGATAGAGCGCCGGAGTATGCTCAGGGACAGGGGCATCGGGGTCAACGAGTACCTGCCACTCTGTACCCCAAGGGGGACTCATCTCGCGCAATTCCCACGCAGGTGGTGACATAGCAAAAACAGCGTTCTTGATTAATTCCAACTCATGATCTTTGAAAGAGCGGTAGAAGCTTTTGCAGATCAACGAAACATTGAAGAGGTCGTCGAGCGAGTCAACTTGTCGCAAAATCGTTAGGACGATAGCCTCAGGCAATGTGTTGCGCATTCCTTCTACAAGGGTTTGACCGGTGTGCGTAGTGTCGCTTAGGTGTTTGGCTTGCGATACGGCAGGATTGGCGTCGAGCTCATATATGGTGGGAGCCTGCGAAGCATTTTGGCGTCGAAATGTATTTGTAGCCACGCCCCCATACTTGCTGTGAGACACAAAGTATTTCTCTGACGATCCCTCAACGAACACATCATTCAGCTTATTATGTCTCGGAACGTGATTGGCATCCTCGTTCATTTTCTTTGCTGTGGATTGAGGTAGTGCCGGCTTCGTGAAACCGGGATTGCCAATTTCCTTTGTCTGCAGGGACGACAGTGTTGGAAATTGCTCCTGCTTGCTGTCATTGGATGTTGGGGTGACATTCGAAACTGTGACAGGGGAGCCCGGAAGTTCGGCCACTTCACCTTTGTCCTCATCTCCAGTAAGATAGGATGAGTGCGAAGTGAAGTCTAATGCTGACGCGGTGAAAGGGCTACCGGAAGGTCGAAATTCGGGTCGGCTAGGCAAGTGGTTGAGGCCCGGCAGACCAAAAGAGAACGACCTTCTATTCTTAGAGTCTTTCTTTGTCTGACTCAACCCCTCGCGGGATTGAGCTTTAACGGCCTGCTGCACATCATGAATACTCATAGGAGACATTGGTCTTAGCCTTGTAGCCATCGTTCCCATGCTTTCTCTACGCATCTGCAGATTCTCATCAGGGTAATGTAGATGACTTTGTGGAGTGAATTTTTTTGTTTGCTGTGATTCTGTGAGACGAGCCATATTCTGTCCCACTGGTCCGGCAGGTCTGGACAGCGACGGACGATGATAGTTCTCCTGGATATCAGGCAGCGAGGGTGACTTCAGAGACCGATAGTTGTTATGCCCAGTCTCACGGCTTCTGGGCAAATGATGAGATCTGTGGCGGGCTAACAATGGTGGCAGTTGGAATGACGGTTCTTGGGGAAGTGGTTTGTCTCTCAGCTCCTTTATTGACGAGTGCCTGGATATAGTTCGAGATGGGGAATTTTGTGACTTCCCATCGTCTTCGAAGGACCCCAACAGATCTGGTGAGGAAGCATGGACTGAATACGGAGAATTTCGCCCGGAAGACAAGCTCAGAGAGCTTTGACTCGTGATCGAAGATCTTAGGGTATATCCTGAGGCTCGCTTGTCTGTGGTCTCTTCCGATGATACAGAGGGCGGCCGACCTTTGCTTCCCGGCGAGTCGGATGATTTCAAGCTCGTCGGAGAGTCCAAGGGACCAGTAGGATCAGTCCTCGTTCTCGATGGGATTCGAGCAATATTGCTCGTAGGAGACGCCAGGGAAAAGTGGGAAGCAAGTTCCGGGAAAAAACGAGCCCAGCGCGTTCCTGACCACGATGGCGGCTTGTCGGACATGGGTGAAATTAATTCTTCGTCATCGTCTTCATCGTCCTCCGCGATATCTGACCAGGATGCATCCTCAGGCTTTGATTTGTCTAAACCGTGGAGATCATGAATATTAAACATTTTGACCCCCGCTAGCTGAGAGGCGTGGCTGAGCGTCTCTAGTGTGTTCATCTTGGGGAACCGCCACGGTCTTCGTGTCTTAGGTGTCACAACCACCCGAGCCCCGCTCTAGGTGATACCAGACTCGGGATCTGGATAAGGGAGTAGATATTCTGCGTATCACGTAGAGCAAATCGAGTGCGTCAATCCACGCCGCACAACCTTAGACGTGCTTTATGCCAGCCGCCTCTCAGGCATGATCAATGCGACCGGCGGATGGGGTTCCCTGTCCGTCGCACTGTACTCGTTCCGAATCAAGTCCTATGGACTGACTTCGAACACAGAAAATATGTTTTTCGAATTTGTGTGTTGGAGCAGAACCTAGTAGCGAGATTTTTGATCGATGGAAGAGAATCAGGGATGACAGGCAGCTTTCGTAAGTTGAGCGCACTCGGCTTAGGGACGCTATTCTCGCATTTAAGAGTCAGCTTACTATCGCCGACGGATAGTTCGGGGTAAACAATAGATTGCAATGGGACCGTATAAATAATCGTTCAGATTCCATCGCCGAGTGTGCGACGAATGACAGCGATTGAACTGACCTTGCGAGAGCTTGGTATCTCTGGCAGATACTAAGGCAGATAGATAGTGTAGATGGTTGGACAAGGTTCTCGCGTGAGGGGACTCGACTGAGTGCGCGGGGGCGACGGTGGGATAAAAGAAGATCACGAAAGCAACGCAAGTCTAGTCTCCACGTGCAGGACAGACTACTTCTTCCCACCCCCTTTACCCAGGAATGTAAGGAAGGAAGGACTCTAGCAGAGGTTAGGTGAAGTGCTGACGACATGACGCCAGCGGAAATAACTAATGAGCAGGCAGGCTGATAGGCGGGAGGATACACAACACGAGGGAGGAAAGGCATGGATGGAGGAAGGACGGGATTGCCGAACCGCGGGGGCCAAAAAAACAATACAATACCGTACATAAATAAGCAGGAACAGTGATGGGGCGCCCGTGGTAAGTTAGAGCATAGAATATTCATCTGGCTTCTACTCTTGCCGGTGAGATCAATTCAAACTATGCAGATAATGATAGTAAGTACTACTTACTGATTTTAAATAGAAAAGAGACTATACATAACACGAGTCATAGAAAAAATGCAGATGTTGGCTGCGCCAGCTGCTCAGCCATCGGATCTTCAACCATCCCTGGCAAGCCTAGTTTTACCGTACCGTACGGCGGGTATCAAGGATGCAGACTGCACGGGTGTCTTTCTCCGCATCTACATGTACAGTATGTCGCAGCCACTTTTCTCCTGGCTGGATCAAGAGGCAGTGCCACACTCTTTTCAAGTCCCAGGTACTCCGTAGTCTATGCTATACACATAACCTGGCTTATCCCTGCATTTGATCGGACACCAATAGCATAAAACTTCCCCAAACATGCCCCTGCGATTTGTTGCGTCCATTTGACCCGAAGAGAAGTAAAGTGTACTGTGTAGGGATTCAGAGCTTCTCGCTTGAAATTGTCGGACACCGGCATGTAAGACCTGCATGAAGTCACGGGAAAAATCCAGCCCCCTGTTGAGAAATCAACCAACTCTGACCCCAGGAGCAATATCTTAAAAAGGATAGAGTATGGTTCCAAGCCTTTACACCTTTTCTCATGCAGGGTCGGATCAGACTGTAAGCACCTACGATGAGTTCATGCATCCCTCTCCAGGGACGGTGATCAAACCGCCACGCCGTTGTTGAACAGTTGGAAATGAGCCAACGCCGTTTCAGAGCAAAGGCTTGCTTGCTTGCTTTAATTGTATTCAGTAAGGATCGACAGCCTCGAAGCCTCGATTATCAGTGCCTGGCAAACATCTCTGGTGGGGCTTGCGGGTCACTGTACGGCGTAGCCTGTCTAGAAGGTTCAAAGGATCACTTGACATGGCATGGCATACAGAAACTCATCCTCTAGTTGTCTACTGGCATGGAACCTGACAGTTGTTCTCCTATAAATAGAGGGGTGCTCCACTCCACCATACCGAATTTGGTTATACACCAGGGACTCCCGCTCGGAACCAGACATGACCTCTTCCTGCATGCTGGGGAATGATGCTTGCTTGGGACTTGACAGCAGCAGGGCTGAATCATGCTTGCCTTGGAGAGGTTACGCGGCGAAAATGTACCTGGGAATGTAGGGAGATGTTTTCCCGCCCCCAGATCAAGTATGAAACTCAAAAACACTAGTTTGAGTTAGCTTCTGCTACGGCACCTTTAGATGGCCTCAAGATGGGGGCCGGATATAAGGTGCACTTCATTGTTGGTGTAATCCTGGGTCAATTCTTCGGCCGAGTCGCCAGAATCAAGGTGAATGCATTGTCGTGCTGTTTCAGAGTAGGGTACCGTAGCCAACAATCCATGGTGCTGCTTATCATCTACTCGAGTATAACCGATGCCTCCAACCGGAACGCTTGGTGTGACGCCAAGGTATTTCCCCACAAACACAGCCAAACAGAAAGGCGTCATTTCTCTAGAGTCTCACCACACAATGTTTTTGAGTCTCCAAGACGACCAGCATAATCTGGCAGCCCCAATCAAGCCTCCTCTGTCCCAGACGGACAAAGTCATCACAGCATTGATCAACAACGTCTTTTCCGCCTGGTCTTCGAGAAAAAGACCAATGCCATTACATGGCATGCTTTCCTGGACATTGTTCGCTATGAGTTGTATGTGCTCCCTGTTGAAGTTGCATGCTCCAAGCAATGCATTAATAATGACAATATAAGCTAACCAGACATAAGACTAAGATAAACCGCCCAGATAACACCAAACAGACTCCCAACAAGCAGTCGCTTATCAACTGGTACCACCGTGAAGTTCAAGACTGACACAAAGGGCCAGAGTTTGAAACCGGCGACCAGGATAGGCCAGAAATCCTAGTCAGGGAGGGGTCAGCAAGTCCATCGCCCGTCGGAGGTTCATTTGCTGTTTTTTGATGGGCCAAGACAAACCATACATTTTGAATCTGCAGCGTGATCGTCTCCCAGTTCTGACCACGCAGGAGCCCCATCGTCGTAATGAAGGCGACAGTGTTCCAGGCACCGCCCACCACCTGGTCGATGACGATCTTCAACACGGTGTTGGTCACGTTCAGTTTGGTCTGCGCCCCTGCAGCACCCTCCGTTTTGGCCTTTGGTGCCTGGACCACCTTCTGACCGGGGAACCTGGCCTCGAGTCCTTCGAGCCAGAGGAAGGTTAGGGGCGAGAGAATGAATGCGGACGTTGTGAACTGGAGAAGTGCTTGGCTGTCAAGCTCAAAGGGTCTCTGTAGAGTCGTGTTAGCTACGTTGCAGCTGCAGACTCGGAAAACCCTAGTCCTTGCGCGCATTGCGATCGTACGTACTTCATCTTTGTAGGCGCCGATGGCCTGCGCTAAGACGTTGGAACCGGCATTGATCACTGCGGCCTGTAAGGTTGCCTTGGCTATTGGGGGAAGCGCCATGACGATATCGGAGGTAGGCTGAAATGACGTGTACTTCTAGGCCACGTGGAGTCGCTCAAGCTGAGCCTCTAGCGCTTGAACCGATTGGGATAGCTGAAGCTTGGTTTCAGGATTGCGTATCCACGAGCCACATATATGATCAAACTTCAAGGGATCAAGAGATGCTTTGGTATGAAGTAGAGACGTGGCCATGAAAAAAAGAATCAAATGGACAAGGGGTTGGGTTTTAGTAGTGGGTTAGCGATGACGAGCAGGTTTGGGGATGGCGCTGTGGGGGTGGGAGAAAAAGGAAGGTTCACACGCCCGCGGGCGCCAGCGGATCCTTGACCGACTGGCTTTGTTTTCTTGTTGGTGGTTTCGATTCGGGCCCACCACACCTTACCGTAAACCACTAGAGTCAGGGTCTGCTCAGAAGTGCGGTACCCGCGCTATACTACATACTGTACAATCCAGGAAGTACTATTCTTCTTAGCGAAACATGGAGGACGTCTTGGCCATTGAAACCACCATGCGCACCACATTTCATGGTGTTGCTATGCCTTTGATCATCTTGAGACTACTAACAACAAGGGATCTCTCCAATACAAAATCACCAGGACATATCCGGGCCTCGATCTACACAATCCAGCTCCTTGCAAACTTTGACTGTGTCAGCGATGATCTGCTCAAGCAAGGGCTATGAGGACTTTGGCTTACGTTTTTCCGCCTGCTCAAACCTTGCATTCTCCCTGGGCTTCCTCATGGCGGGAAATACTTCGGCTCCTTGTTGCCTTTCCAACTTCAAATGGGTCTTCAGTGCATCAAGGACAGCTTGTTGCATGCCTATCAGAATGCTGTCAGATATGATTATCGCACGTCCAATCTTGATTAGCTAACTGGCCGACTTACCTGCATCCTTTGCAGTTGGTTGAAGTGTCACGCATGCAGAGCTAACGGGACCCAACTGTCAACTTTGATCGTGACGGAAACAGTCGAGCCATACCTAGTATCCTCAAGACAGGAGCGATATGCTGTTTCTAGCTCAGCGATCGTCTTCTGCAGCCGATTAGTCGTCTCCTGCGTTATAGCTTTAGCTTCAGAGATCATGCTGCTGCTGCTGCTGCTGCTACTATACAAATCAAGTCGGAAGGAGGTTTTCTGCGCAGACACCGGGATGCAGGTCAGTGTGCACCAATACCCCTTTCTATCAATCGCCTTGACTGCCGTGATTGGAAAGACGGTCATGCTTGCGGAGCCCTCTTGCGAAACCCCAAGCCTGTTCAACAACCAAGAAGGGAACCTTCGCTGGGATCCCAGGCTCCTTATACCCTCAGTGTCGATCAAAGACTCGGCAATCCTCACTACACAGCACTCTCAGCAAGACAACTGCAATCCTCCAAGAAGGTATAACCTACCACTCAGCTTCCAATTGACCTGACCCTCAACCGTCTGCCCACCTTCCCACCTCGACCGCAGCGCAATCTCACGAGACCCCACAAAAGCATCAAGCAACTCTACCTCCGGCGGCGGAACCTTCAAGCTGGTATCCAAGTTCACAAGCACGAACCCCGCCCGGCTTGTAAAAGTATGCACAGCGAACAGGGCATTCTGCGCGCGATCGAACCCCGCCACCCCGTCAAAGTGCGGCGCCTTGATGAGCTGCCCGAGACTGTTGTAGCTCCAGCCGTGATACCGACAGCCGAGAACGGTGGACGAGCCGCGGTCCTTCCGGGTAACTGGGTATGCACGATGGCGGCACACGTTGTGGAAGGCCCGGAGCTCGCCGTCCTTGCCTAGGATCAGGAAGACGGGATATCCGGCGACAGTGAGGGCGTGGTAGTCGCCTGGCTTGGAGAATTGGCTGCGGTGTGAGAGGCAGAGCCAGTGCTGAGGTTGAGGTGTTAAGTGTCTGGGAGAAAGCTTGAAAGGAGTGAGGGCGGGGGGTGGGGTTACTTTACTGAAAATTGCGCGACGTTCGAGTTCATATGTGCTAGAGCCTGTCCACCAATCCGCAGAAAAATCGGGTTCTTTGCTAACTGCAATGATTTCTTCGTGCTCTAGAGTTGACTCGGGTGAAGGGAGCTTGATTTGTCTAGGAAGATATTCGAAGCAGGTTTGGATAAAGGAACGAGTCCAGGTCTGGTACAACAAGGCTAATCCGACTAGCAGTCCAACTACTAGAGGCGTTGTTGAAGCTGGTGGAGCTACTGAGTACAGCGCTTCCATTTTAACAAACAGATATAGTTGAAAGATGTCCTAGAGAGATGTCACTCCCAGCCTGGGTGCGAAAGTGTGTTTATATAGATGCTCGATTATCGCCGAGGTCAGAGCGCTTGAATACGTCTCCACCGGCCTGCATGAACCACCAGAATCGGCCAGTAGGAGACTGTCGTGCTGTGCGACGATTAGACTTCTTCTTGAATCATACCCCTCTTTGACTTGCCGAATTTGGTGAGACTATCCAGGGTCCACGGTGCCAAATTGTCAGCCGTTGTTGACAGTCTAGATTGAGCTGCACTTGATCATTGGACTTGAGATCGACAAGTTCTTATCTTGCTTACAAGCAACGCGGACAGTAATGGGAAAATTCTTCTTGCTTCTGGCCTCGAACGTTGATGGCAAACCACCCATTTGGCCATCATGGATGTTCGCACTGTTCCGTCCCGGTATCATGCAACAACAGCCATGGTCATCTCAGCTCCTTCCTTATGTGCCATTCCCTTTTTACTCCCTTCTTTTCCCGCTTGATCAATAGCGTACTGCTCACACACAAGCTCAAAAACACGACCCTGATAAACTGAGAAAGATGAGCATCTCAGCAACCACAGACCGAAGGAATCATACTCACACGATACACCATTCTCCTTCTCCGGATTCAAGATCCCTTCGCTATAAATGCCCCTGACAAGGTTATCCTGGGCCTTCTCACACAGCTCGTAATCCTCCATAGCCACCTGCCGAACAAACTTATAGTACTGCTCGAACTTCTCGCCCGATTCCATGTGGTAATAATCGAATTCCATCCTCGTCACATTAGGATTTTCCGTCGGACAGACGCGGAACGACGACATGCCCCCGCCATACACATTCAAGGTGCAGTTCGGGAAAAAGTAGAGAAACAGACCATCATCCGGCTTCTCCGGGTCAGCAATGTGCTGTGAGAAGTTCTGATGGTTGTGCACCGCGTACGAGGTCGGGGGGTAGTAGACGGAGAAGGACGGGTGCGTGTACTGGCAATGCAGGCACTCTTGGTAGCCATCCACCCTGGTTTGACGTCAATCAGCCTAGCTTCCTGACTCCATCTGGTTGCCTTGGACCATTTCATACATAGTCTTCCAGTTGAATCGACCTTCATACTTGATGCTCTGGCGGTACGGAAGCTTGGTGAAGTTCACTTTCTGGAGCAACGGTTCCAGTTCGGGGAAATACTCGTGGAAATCCGGGGCCTCGTCCCCCAGGGCTGCGAAGACCAGACCTGTGGGAGTAACATGATGTCTTAGTGGTCGTTCCTGTAGCCTTCTCAGCGCTATGTCTTTCGATCACTGTACGGTTTCCAAGCCTACCGTCTTCAAGCATCGCACCTGGATCTCCTCTGCACCAGGATAAGGGCCATCTCCGGAGCATCGAAAAGCTATCAGTGGGCGCTGAGCGATCTCGTATTCGACTTGTGCGCCCACCTCACGGAATCGAGTGACGGGACCTAAAAGATACCATGACTAGAGGCGTGATTCGGTTAGGAGGTGTGAGCACACTGAAGTAGGAGGCCACTCGCCTTCAGAAACACGGCTCTCCGTTCAAGTTGATAGAGCCCTTGACTACGATACCAGGATGCAGGCAAAGTACGATGAAGTTCGGGCATTTTCGAGATGATTTTGAGGTCAGTATCAGGAATGGCGCCAGCTATCTATCCAAGCTTCCGCTGGTCGGTCTGCTTTCCTTTCTTATAGACACGGCTGCAATGCACCTTGAAGTGGTGACCTGCAGCCACAGGAGTTTCCATTGGACAGGCGTATCGTTTCCTGAAAAGGTTATGAGATCCCGTGTTCACGGTTCTTTACATGTACTGACTGTACTTATGTACTGCAGCCTTCCATGGAGGCTCGAGTGCTACTGGTCGTACGACCGATAGATTGGCCATTCAGAGATTTTTGATACCATCCGTGCGATATAAGCTCGATCAGTGCTGCAAGACCAAGGTAGTGAGTGATTTAGCGTATGTCTCGAGATGCTTCGGGCGTTCTGTGAACGCGGGGCAAGTAGTAAATATAGAAGGACTCGCAATTCCAGTTCTTGGCAGAAGACTTCAGTGATGAATGGGCACTCCGTATAGACTTTATATTCTCTCTGGTAAGCCTAGAATCAATTCTGGCTCGACAAATGACTGATGCCTTGAATGAGCGCAATATCAATGGGTATAGTTGCTGCCTGGCTGCGGACCATCATTCCTGCCGGTGGCGATAAAATTTGTCAGAAGATAAAGATACATCCTCTGCTATGACTTTCTGATTTCAAGCATTGATTACTCTGTGGCAAACACCTCTTGCGCATTCTGAAGTGCATCTTATCTTATATATCTCTAGAGATATTCTAGAAAGCCGGTAAGGAACGGTTGCGAATCACATGGGAAATTCGTGGTGGGTCGTCCGATGATTACGTCGTGACATTCCGCCGTGACTCTCTTCCTCCTCCGACTCTCTTTCACTCTTCTCTTCTCCGCAATTCTCCTCCGACCGTCCGCTGACTTTTGCCATCCTACTTAGTTTGTGTCCTTCTTGTCAACATTCTTACCATAGCATAATTCGAAAATATCGCTGGCACATTGCAACTGTCAACTCAAATTCGATGAGATAGCCGTGTGCGACCGAGCTATCACTATGGCAGGCAACCGAGTCAAATACACGCCCCCGCCTTCGCCGCCTTCGCCCACGGCCTCCTACTACGATGTCAGCGATGCCGAAGAGGATGACTATAACACTATATCGCACTTGACCTCCCGCCGAGGAGTCAAGCTTCTATTCTCCAAGAGCAAAGTCCGTCCCCCCATGCTTAAGTGTCGCTGTCAATATAGCTAACCCCGCCTTTTTCCGCGCATCATAGGTCTATGTCCACCCCACTCCCTCCTCTAAAGACAATATCCCTGGGTTTATTGCCCTGATCCAACAAAAGCCCCTTCCCTATGCCTCCGGAACCTCTACCGCCACCAATCACACCAAAGACATCTCATCTTACCTCCTCGCCTGGGTACCGGAATCCTCCCTTGGTGACGCCTACAGCACCTACGTCAAAGTTGACTTATCGGACGACGCCTCCCCTCCGCGACAGAAATACCTCGTGCCCGCCCTCCCCACCACGACCACCTACAAAGACCCCATAGGCCTCTACGCCTTCGCCGTGCCCCTGTCAGAGATCTATTCACTCCTCGTGCGACCGCCAAGTCTGGGATGGTGGTTTGGCAGTCTCGTGATCAACACCCGCGCCGGGGACAGCTTCCCCGCACTATTCTTCCACGACAGCGAGTGCGAGTCGACGATACTGCAGAAGAAGAAGAGAACCCGGGAGAGCTTTGATCCTTTCGGAGAGGATGGGAGTGTGTTCTGGGGAGGGGACGAGGTGTTGCGATGGCTCCGGAGATACGTTGAGGTGCAACGGTCCGCTCTGGACAGTAGCGTCTATCTCATAAACCCCTCCGAGGAGGATCGGATCTCCTTCGGACAACAACCAACTTCGGACGCCGCGAGGACCTCCCAGGACCAGACTGTTGCTCCAGCGCAACCCGGGGGAAGCAGACAACCAGATGCTGGCATGGACCCATTTGTGAAGACGCTTAAGGAAGCACGGTGGAAAGTTCTTGAATCGCTCAGCAAGATTACGACCTTCACCAGGCGAACCGCGAATGAATTGGCGGACAACCCCAGAATACCTCCCCAGGTTCGTCGCTTGATGAGGACACCTGAAATCCAGACTTTGCAGGATGAATTCGACAGTGCTAGGCTATATCTTGCTCGTTGGGCCATGAGCATCTCGGAACAGAGTGAGCGCGAAAGAAACCAACGCATCTGGACTGCGCGGGATGTGCTTGGGATGGAGAATAGCTCGGTGGGCGACTTTGAGATCCTAGAACTGGAGACGGGAACCTTGTCCATCCAAGAGCGTCGGAAAACAGTGACTCTGGAAGAGTGGGAGGGTTTCTTCGACCCGCATACGGGCCGGTTGCAAGTGACTGTTGAAGAAGTGAAGGAGCGAATATTCCACGGTGGGCTGGACCCCAACGACGGCGTCCGGAAAGAGGCATGGCTTTTCCTTCTCGGCGTGTATCCGTGGGATAGTTGTCGCGACGAGCGCCAGGCTCTGGTCAGTTCGAAAAGAGACGAGTACATTCGCCTGAAAGGTGCTTGGTGGGAAAAGATGATCGAAGGCGGCTCCACGGCAGAAGAGTATGACTGGTGGAAAGAGCAGAGGAACAGAATAGGTAGGTACTTTGAGGATTGCATGACTGTTCTATGCTGACCCACCGCAGAGAAAGATGTTCATCGCACAGATCGCACGATACCCCTATTTGCTGGCGAAGACATCCCCCATCCGGACCCTGACTCGCCTTTTGCCGAGACCGGAACGAACGTGCATCTAGAACAAATGAAAGACATGCTTCTGACATATAACGAATACAACCCTGATCTTGGATATGTCCAAGGCATGAGCGATCTTTTAGCGCCAATATACGCTGTCATGCAGGATGATGCCGTTGCATTTTGGGCCTTTGTCGGATTCATGGACAGGATGGTAACGATTTCCTCTCCTCCCCACACAAAAGCTGTTCATGCTATGCTAACATGGTGAACCAGGAACAAAACTTCCTCCGGGATCAATCCGGCATGCGCGCACAGCTGACTACACTGGACCACCTTGTCCAGCTCATGGATCCGCAGCTCTACCTCCACCTCCAATCTGCCGATAGTACCAACTTTTTCTTCTTCTTCCGCATGCTCCTGGTCTGGTACAAGCGGGAATTCGAATGGGTGGACGTCTTGCGTCTGTGGGAGACGTTATGGACGGATTACCTGTCGAGCAGCTTCCACCTTTTCATTGCCCTGGCAATCCTCGAGAAGCACAGGGATGTGATCATGGACCATCTGAAGCAGTTCGATGAAGTCCTGAAGTACAGTACGTCATCCTCTTCTCGCACGTCTCCCAAACCCCATGCTAATGTATTGTCTAGTCAACGAACTATCCAACACCATGGAACTCGTTCCCATTCTGACTCGCGCCGAATCTCTCTTCCACCGCTTCGAACGAGCCGTTCAAGCCATCGACAAGAAAAACAACTTCCCCTCTCCATCTCCAGCAGCCTACCAACGCAAACCCACTACGAACTCCCCTGCTGCCGGTGACACTACCAACGACAACAACAACAACAACAACAAGGGCAAATCCCCCGAACGTCCTCCGCAATCCGCCGGCTTCGCCACCGGCAGCAGCGCCGCTGCCGGGCCCAGCAACCGACCAGGCGACAAGGACGCAAAGGTCATCTCCCCGGAACTAAGACAACTCTTCGCCAAAGACATCCCATGGGCTCGCAAGGCCCGACAAGGTTCGAAACCCGGACCACAACAACAGCAGGAGACGGCGGGGACATCCGAGCGACGTTCGTAGAACTTCCTCCAAGAGTCTGACTAGTAGCAACAATAGCTAGTTCTCTCCCATGTTTCTCGATATGATAATTTATGATGTGAAATGATACCTGTGACTGGTTTTGGTTTGCCTTTCTCAAATACTATATCCTCTCTCCCTCGCTATCTACTTTCTGTCCTGTGACTTGATCATCACTTTTCTTTCTCCAGTCGTTGTCTAGATAGTTACCTGGAACGAATCTTGACGTAGCCTTTCATTTCGTGGTTATGATTAGGTATCTCCTATGGAAACAGAGTGACGGGTGACGGTATAGTTTTTTTTCAAATGGTCTTTCTCCCCTTCTCACTCTCTCACACTCTCTCTGTCTTTATGTGCAGTCTAGTGTATAGCCCTCTATCTTCGCGATTGCATAAACCGCCACTAACAAGATTGAAGTAACGCTAGAGCCGCAGCTAAGTTACTCAACCTCAGCAAAAGATTAGCACATCGGTCGACCTTAAGCTGGAATCTAACCCATCCATCGTCCACCCAATACAAAAAAACTCCCGATACAAGAGAACCAACAAGCAAAGCAGAAATGCATACACTCGATAATAAGAAAAAAAGAACAATAACCTAAGTATTTACATACATACATCCCTGCCCCATCCGTCCCCTGTCCCCTCTAAAACAGGCTAAGAAGATTAACAAAAAAGAAACTCCAGCTATGCACAAAAGTCCACACGCAGGAACAACCGCTCTTTTGGGAAACCTAAAACAAAACACACAGAATAGCAAAATACTCGGCGGCTTCGGATTTGTTGCAGGCGCTGGCTTTCCTCTATCGGATCGGAACAATAATAACGAAATCAATGAATCGAAAAGCCGGACGGTACAAGATCAAGTAAACAGTACGAAAGAAAAGGAATGTCGTCGTATCTCGGTCGTTAATCCCGCTTGGAGGAATATGTATGTAGATGTCTTTTTCTTCTCCTGTTTGGCTGTCTGTTGTCTTTCTGCTTTCTTGTGCTGTGCAAGGGATGAGTGGGTTTTCTCCCATCTTGCGGTTTACATTCGATAGTCAAAACATTGGACAAAGGGACTCTATTTTAGATATCTTCGACAATTCTAACGAGCTGGGCGAGCTTCTTCATCTTCGTTGCCGGGTTTGTAGGATCTTCGTTCGTTGTTGTTGATGTTGGTGTTGGTGGTGGTGTTGTCGTCGCCGGCGTCGGATTCATCCTCATCGTCGTCGTCATCGTCGTCATCGCTTTCCCAGTCCTCCGCTTCGAGAGAACGGGCGCGGATACCGAAGCTGAGGATGAATCCGACAAAGGAGACGGCGGAGAAAACGCCGAAGGGCATGGCTTCGCCTTTGGTGGGGAGACGGGAGGCCAAACTGAACAGACTGCCGGAGATGAGGGGTCCGACAGCGCGGCCGGCGGCGGAGAGGGTTTGCGCGAGGCCATTCAAAGAGCCGAGAACCGTGTGGTCCGGCGCGGAGTTTGTGATCTATTTGATTTTGCAATTTGTTAGAAATGTTTTCAAAGCGTTGAACTCGGGAAGGGTTGCATACCAGTAAGAGTGCACTGGTCAACCCGCCTACCGAGGCGACAGTCTTGATCAGCAAGACAAAACATAATTCAATGGCCATCAGAGCGGTCTTGCCGGTGACACCGCTCCTATCCGTGTCGTTGCCCTTGTACCCGATGAAGGGCATAAGGAGGAATGACACCACGAACCCCAGCAGTCCGGCACGGTAAGACCACCGGTTGCCCATCTTGTCGCGCAACTTTCCGAAGATGCAGATCTGGAAGATGATGGTAACGAGCCCTGTAAAGCCCTGGGCAAGACCGATCTCCGAGGGGGTGAGAGCTCGGCCCAATGGGGGCCTGGCTTGCGAAAAGATGGGGAAGAGCGAGTTGAAGGAGACGTTGCACAGGGCAAATACGAGATACGTCAAAAGGAGCAAGATCGTGTCCCGGTTCCATATTTGACTTTGCATCAACGATTCCGGGTGCGGACGGGGAGATTCAGAGACCTCCGAGGCCGAGTCCAATTCGCTGTCGTGATCCTGGCTGTCGGTGGACTGTGTTCGGAGGTGGCGGTATGAAGCATGGTGCGGTGGTTTCATCCATCCTGCGCGTTTGGCGGAGCTGGTCCATTGCCAGAGCCAGGCAAACAGAGCCCGAACGCGCCGGCCAAAATGGGGGAGGGCATCCGCATCGTCAAGACTCTCGTCGAGGAGGAAAATCGAAGCGACAAAGTCGACAATGAGGATTGTCGCCGCAATGAGGTTAGGGGCGGCGTATGGGTATGGGTTGGGCTGACTCTTGTCGAATGGGTTCTTGGGGAAGATCAGCAACCCGCCAAGGATGGGGCCGGTGACGCCTCCGATGCCGTACAAGACGGGGAGATAGGCGAACGCTTTGGATTGGTTGCTGCGGTCGGTGATCTCACCAAGACAGGTCGATACGAGACCCTGATTACCGTTGACCGCACCCATTAACGCCTGTACCGCAATAGCCTGATATAGTGTCTTGCAGAATCCAAAGGCACAGAAGCATAGGGCTGTAAGAAGGGTGCCCAGGAGGATGATCGGTTTCCGGCCCACACGATCCGACAACCAGCCCCAAAAATAGTTGGTCACAAGCTGCGCAATTGCAAAGGCCGTAGCCAGCGCTCCAACATACATGCCCACGGTATTCGGTCGATTTTCAGCTTCAGGAAATGACGACACCATCTCGGGTAGATAGGGACTAATTGAGTTGAAGGCCGTTTGTTCGCAGAGGGAGATGAAGGCTAGGATGGCCATCTGCCGCTTCGGGAGTGGTGACCCAGACCCGCGCTCGGAGCCATTGTCATTCTGCTGAGGATGCGAGTCTCCGCCAGACGATCCAGACTGTCCAGAGTTCGGCCTTCCGCGAGACTTTGGTGGTGGGGTGTCGAAGGTTTGGTAGTGTAGGGTGGAAGAGTGTCGCCGATTGAACGGGCCCTGCTCGTCTGTCCTCATCTTCACGAATAATGGTCCAAAAAGATGATCTGGAGGTCGTGTCTCCAGCCTCAGTGAGCCTCCCTTGCGTTTTCAGCAGAGATAATGGGGCTCAAGGGCCACACGTCGTTCGCAGTGCGGGGGGCGTAGGAGCCCCCAGGATATGACAACTGAAAGCGATTGAAGGGGTAAAACGCAAATAAAAATGGATCTTTCAGCCACGTAAGATCCGTGTCCCAAAGCTGAAGGCGAGCAGGGAAGAAAGAAAGGGAGTAATGATGATAAGCGCAGTCAGCAGCAAGACTGGATCTCGAAGATGTTGCGCGTGGAGTAACTCCACTCCACACAAGATCATCGGCGAGGCCCTGCAGATGATGTAAGCCCCTCTGCAGGCTTGCAGCTGACTCATCCGCTCCATCTGGTGGTCACGCTCACCACCACGTGCGTAATAGGCCAACAACAACAACAATAACACCTGTAGACGCTGGTATTAATTTATGGCTTGTTTGATGCTTTGGTGGCACACATGACCAGCGCGATGGGATTCTGCACCGGAAGTCAAGCCTATTGGTCCGTTTCGCTTAGATTCGATGAAATGCAGTAGGGCTAGCAGAAATGGCGGCTATATCGGTCTCTACTTATATATATGCCGATGATCACACGCACGTTTTCAGCCTCCGTACTCCGTGGATTTGTTCCTCATCTCCTGAGATAGTTCTATTTCTAGTATACTCCCGCTGCCCCCAAGATATGGATTTGAACATTTGTTCGGAGTTTTGTATTTGTTGTGGTTTGAGTTGGATGGACTGACGACTACTCGCATAGAAGAGACCTTGCCAGGTCATGTGTGCAGTATTCAACTGGCATTTTGTCCCAAAAATTATTCTCTAATTGTTTGAAAAAGACTAGCTATAGCATCATCATCATCCTAGCGTTAGAACCTTGACTCGCACAAGGATACTCACTTCATCAACAGGTTGACAGCCCAAGGGACACTCAGCCCTCTTAAGTCACCATAGTGTTGACCAACACCCAAAAAGACAATTGGGATACCCGTCGCGTGAACCATGCTAACCAGAGTGCCTACCATATCACCCACAGTGTCACATTTACTAATAATGAAGCCGTCAAGGTTTCGTCCCGTACCAAAGGCCTGGTTGAAGTTACGGGCCTGCATCACACTGTCCGTACCAACGAGTGCTTCGCCGACCATGAAGATCTTATCGGGCTTAGCGAACTTGGCAAACTTCTCCAAAGACGACATGAGACGCTGATCGTTGTGGCGGCGGCCTGCAGTATCGATCAAGACAACATCGAACTTGTTGGCTGCGCCGTATTCCACAGCGTCCTTGGCGACGTTCGCTGCGTCCTTGCCGTAACCCTTCTCGTAGAGTTCCACTTCACCAGCAGTCTCACGCTGGCTAAGCTCCTTGAGGTTGCGGGCATGAACACGGAGCTGCTCCACTGCACCGGACCGGAAAGTGTCACAGGCCGCAATCAGAACACGGTAGTTATTCTGTAACAAGAAATAACAAATCTTTCCGAGATTAGTTGATTTTCCGACACCGTTCACCCCAACAATCGAGATGACATAGGGGCGGGGAGTCGCCTCCTTGGTCGTGGGGGATGTGACAGCATCAATCTCACGAAGGAGATCGAGAGAAGATGTTGGTGTCAGGATCTTGCGTAAGGAGGATTCCATGGCCACACGCAAAGCCGCATCCACACTTTGAAAGTTAGCCGTCTTCTTCCCGACAAGCTCGCGCTTGACACCGTCGCAAAGCCGGACCGCCGCTTCCCGCGCAACGTTCTTCTTCAGGAGATGATCTTCCATCGTTTTCAAGGGCTTTTCCAGATCAGCTTCCGTCAAAACCTTACCGCCGACAATGTTCCGCAGGAGACCACCGATGGCGTTGAAGCCTGAGCCAACGAGACCGGAAGAAGCAGCACCTTTCGATTTCTCGCTCTCCGCATTCTCAAGGATCGAGTGAACCTCATCTCCGAGGTCCTTGAGCACGAACTGGCCTTTACCAGTTCTCCGACCCCATGAATCTTCAGAGACAGCCTCGACCGCTAGCACTTGTGCGCCTTCAGCATCAGCCGGGGCCGAGTAGTCCAGAACCTGGCCATCATCCTCATCGGCGAAACCATCTGCATCCCACCGACGCATTTTCTTTCCGCTCTTCGGAGTCTTATCCTTTCGGCCTTTCTCGTCACCGGACGAAGCATTGGCGCTGGAGTTGGCGGCTTTGCGTCCACGGCGCGACATACGACCTCCGGGGCCTAGCTTGGCGGTAAGGATATGACCGGCAACGGGGGTTGTCGATCTCGAAATGTCTGGAGTTTGGGGTGGCGTACCCTCATCTGAGGTGACCACGCCGCCGAGCGCAGCTTGTTGCTGCGCTTTGCGACCGTCAGTAAAGCCCTGGAATCGGGGGCATGCAGTAGAACACACCTTTGATGAGGCCAGAGACCGATGGCGGTGGTGGGCCCCCATTGTCAGACGAGACAAGCGGATCCTTCTTATCAACTGCATTCGCCACAGAACTTTCCGATGCGACAAATCCCGAGCTGCCCTCGAGCTCGCGCACTTGCTGGTCAAAGTATTTGTCGAACGGGTATTGCACTATCCTTGCGCGAGTGCTTCTCAGTTGATCTTTGTAAAGGTCAATATACAGGGTAGCGATATTATCGAGGAGTTTGTCGATCCAGCCCAGCTGTAGAATAGACTGGTAGACGGCCTGACTCACAGCATTGTTAGAAGCCACGAAGCGCAAGTTGCATTGAAGAAGGCACATACCACAAAAATGAGATTGAATTCCTTGACTCTCTTCCACTTCAAGGTATACTTCTCCTTTCTGAAAGTTGGCGAGGTACTATTGGGGCCTTGAATCTGGGCCTTTTCTTCGATGAAAACATCACTGATAAGACTGTTGACCACGTGGGCACCCACAGGGGCGTAGGACTTTGACCAGAGAACTACACCCGAGGTGTCGAGGATTTCGAAGGATTCCAACATATTTGCGGAGGGTGTTTCGAGATATTTGCTGGGTGATGTAATAATCGAGTGGAAGATTGATGATGAGGTCCGCGCGGGTGGGGAATGTGTGGGCGTGGGCGGCAAGCTGAGCTGGGGAGCGGAAGGAGCGGCGGACTTCAGCCACGTATAAACACCTTCATCTCTCCAACTTTGTGCAAACCTCACTAAGTAGCTCTCTGCCGCTTCGGCGCCCCACGAACACCACCCCCCCGGATATCAACCCAGCGACCCCAACCTCAACCTGTCCACAATCTTTGACTTCGCTACTCCTCTCAGAAAACATGTATCGCCAATCATTCGCTCCACCCCCGGCGCAGTCGCCTCCGCTTCATCATCCAGTGCCTCAGCATGTCTCTACAGTTCCTATGATGCGCTCGCCGCCGCCTCCGACATCTCAGCAGTCTCAATCTGCGGGCTATGGCAACCCATATCAACCCGCACCTGCGCAAGGTGGTAGTGGGACCTACGGCCCCGGGTTCGGTCAGTTCATCAATGATCCAACGGCGCAGATGAGTTTTCAGGTTGGGAAAACGGCGATGATGGCTGGCCAGGAGTATATGGAGCAGAACGTAAGCAGCGCCGGTATCACGGCATCATGATACTGTTGTTTGCTAATTCCAATTCTCAGTTAAATCGTTATGTGTCCATTCCGGCCCTGAAGCATTACTTCAACGTTTCGAACTCCTACGTCCTGAACAAGCTTTCCCTCGTTCTCTTCCCATGGCGACACAAGCCCTGGTCCCGCCAACAGGCACGCCTGACGACGGCTGCAGCTGGCCCCAATGGCCAGATCTCGCAGCAGCAGTACTCCTCCATGTTCCTTCCGCCCCGTGATGATCTCAACTCGCCTGACATGTATATCCCTGTGATGGCACTGGTCACCTACATTCTGCTCTCGGCCATGTTGGCAGGGTTCCGCGGAAACTTCCACCCGGAGCTCCTAGGGTCGATCACCACGACAGCTATCGCGGTCATACTGTTCGAGATCATGTGCCTGAAGCTGGCAATGTACATCCTTAGCATCAACAACGAGTCTCAACTCCTCGATCTCGTTGCTTACTCCGGGTATAAGTTTGTCGGAATCATCCTCACGCTCTTGGCGTCTGAAATCCTGACCCCTGGTCGAGGCACCGGTGGTTGGGTCGGTTGGGTTGTCTTCATCTACACGTTCCTGGCCAACGCGTTCTTCCTGGTACGTACCCCGTGGTGATACCGCAGTTGGCGGGTCGCTAGCTAACTCTTGCTACCTAGCTCCGCTCCCTCAAATACGTTCTGCTTCCGGACTCCACTAGTGACGCCTCCATGCGTACGGGATCTATGCACACTGTTGCCCGCTCGCAGCGCAACCGCCGTACCCAGTTTCTGTTCGTTTATGCGTACATCATCCAGTTCATCTTCATGTGGGTGCTAAGTCGCGAGGGCCCAATTGCTAGTGTCGCGGGGAAGGGTTCGGGTTCATCGTGATAGCCTCGTCTCCGTAATCGGTCGATTACAGTTAATGATATAGATGGACTTCACGAAAGGGAAACAGGAAGTTCATGTAGGCCCCTCATCATCTTTTCACGTAAAACTTTACCATGTGTTACTTTCGCATATATTTAGATCTTTGAAAGCGTTGAAACTTTTTCACTGAGCAACGCCGTCCATCAATTCTGCTAACATGTAACCAAGCTCGATAGAACAATGTTGCGGCATCCAGCCAGAAGGAGGATGCTAGTCTACGCGGGACCAATCTACTATGTGAAGAGTTGAGGAATGTAAGAGATGTGCATTGAGGCAAGATAGCTATAATAAACTTGAGACGGGACCTGAATTTGCAAAAGGTTAGAAACCAGTCAAAGCAAAGACGAGTGATGATCCAAAGGCTGAACTAAGGATGTTCCTCAGAGATCTTGGTGATGAGGGAAATATCATTGCCAGAAGGCATCAACTACTATCTAGGCGTGATATCATGTTTTTAATCACCGGAACTGGGGAGGGAAGATGAAAGCAAAAGTGGGATGCATACCAATATCTCGAAGTGGACAATCGAAAAGGCGAAAAGATTGAGTCTGCTGCCAAGGTCTTCGCAATGTTAGCATGGATAACACATGAAAATGTGAGAAGCAACAGGAAGCGAAGTGTTGAGAATATCAGAATATGTAAGAATTAAATATCATGCGGCAGCGCTGTATAGAAAACCCCGGCGAGGGCATCACAGACGCTGCGTCAATCGCAAATTACCGCATCATGTAAGGATTGAGCGAGTAGGAAGTGAAGAAAAGGAGTGTATGCATACCAGTACAACACACGATGCGCGTACACTGTCGAAGTTAGTGTAGCTGGTGAGCGATTGAATCTTCAAAGCTTCAAGGCGATTGATTGATCGTCATGATCAGAACCACATTTGTTCTGAAGTTCCAAATGCCAAAAGTCTGGAACATTGCAGAGAGAACTGCACACACACACACAGAGAATAGAAACACCAGCGAACAATTGCTGCTGAATCAGAAGCTTAAAAGGCGCGGTGCTCGGAGCGGAAAATATCCGGCGGCCGATGGAGGGCGCTAAGGGGCGGAAGCAGCCCTAGGCCGCACGCAAACACCTGGCCGCGGGCTGCTACTGGCTGCTAAGCGAGACTCTTGTGGGCGAAGGGCCGCAACCACCGAAATTCGCTATCCAGTCAGCCCCGTTGAGTGCGACGAGACTTGTGCGTTTAGGACGACCTTCGACAACCCCGACATTTCGACAACAAATCACCACCACCGTCCCACCCGGAGTCTGTCGACCGTGAGTTCTTGTCGCCCCTCTTCTACGACCACCCTGTCACACACGCACGCAACATCCAAACTAAAGTCGTTCTTTGTTCTGCAAAAAAATAGGAAGCCTTCGCCATGGCCGATATCGATGTCAAGATTGCTCAATGGAAGCTGGTTGAGGTTGGCCGCGTTGTGCTGATCCGCAGCGGTCCCTACACCGGCAAGCTCGCCGCCATTGTCGAGATTGTCGACCACAGACGTGTACGTTCTATGAAATTCGCGCGAAAATTGCGGTTGGGGGAACCCCGGAGATCTCGGTCGGCAAAAGACAAGAGACGGAATATGGGATTCTATTGCTGGAAGGAAACATGGACATGAACATGAAAATTGACACGAGTTGCACCCGATTAGGTTCTGGTTGATGGTCCCTCCACCGAGGAGAAGAAGATCGTCCCCCGCCACGTCCTCCCCCTCTCCCACGCCACCCTCACCCACTTCGTCATTCCCCAGCTGCCCCGTGCTGCCGGTACTGGCCCCGTCAAGAAGCTTTGGGAGAAGAACGAGATCGATGGCAAGTGGGCTCAGAGCGGTTTCGCTAAGAAGACCGACCGCATCGAGCGCCGGAAGAACCTGACCGACTTCGAGCGCTTCAAGGTCCTCAGACTCCGCAAGCAGGTACGTGCGACAGGGATGGATTTGTGATATGCGCGCGCCATGTGGGAGCAATTTGAGAAGGGACAATGGGGCATATTAGGGCTTATTTTGGGCCCGGCGGTGGAATGGGATGGCTCTCTGGACGCGCGCAGGGAGAATGGACGAAGGCTGACATGTTTTCACTCTACAGGCTCGCTACGAGGTCCAGAAGGCTCACGCCAAGCTCAGAGCTGCTGCTCCCAAGGCATAGATGGTTATTGGGGCTCGGTGCAAAGTGTGACAGGGTGCCTTAGGACGGGGTTTATTTGCTGATGGGTTAATTTTATGTTCAGCAAAAAATTACGCTGTATGCATTATTTGACAGCATAAAAATGATTCAAGAACCTTTGATATCCTGACATGGCTTGTTCTCGTACGTCATGGAAAGCTGAAACCCGCTCGCCGCCTGGAACGAGTGCCTTTTCAGCGAGTATATGACTTATGATACAACTGGGTCTTCGACTTGACATCAGCGGGTCAGCTCCTGAGAAGGAAATGGGCAATGAACACAATTTAGACTTTCAAAGCAAAAAAAGACGAAAAAAAAAGGCACTTTCATTGTAAATTCATTAAATTCAAGATTATGTCTAGATTGAGGCTTCGAAGATCAAAACTATAAGATTGCCTATAACAGTGTAACTTAGTAGCTTGGTTGTATGCCGACGGACTTGGTCTGTAGAGGAGCCGCTGCTTGTGTGTCCGGGGGGAGAGGGCCCCCCAATAAGCTCGCTAACGATTTTCGGCAGGATGACATTCACACAGCTTCAGGTCTTTCCAACTCCAACCAAGGCAAAAAAATCCCCTCCATCCACCACAGTCCTCTATTCCGTGTCCAGGTACGTTCAAATGGAATTTGTGACCGCCCAGATGCCGTTTCCGCTTGAATCTGGCGAATTCCTGCAGTTTTGTGGGAGTTTCTGGGTCTCTTAGGCCCAATTCGAGCCTCGTCCCAAACCACCACCTGTGCGAGTCCCACTACTGTGCGAATTGCTGACCTTTCGAACCACCATCTCAGCCCACTTTAGGCTTTACTCAACTTACACACATACAAAATGGCCGATCCCCGTGTTGAAGAGCTCCCCGACGAGGAGGTCCCCAAGACCCAGGTTGAGGATGCCGGCAGCGACTCTGAGTCTGAGGCTGGCGATGAGCCCACCATCCCCGGTGGTGCCGCCGTCACCATCCACTCTCGCAACGAGAAGAAGGCTCGCAAGGCCATTGGCAAGCTCGGCCTGAAGCACGTCCCTGGCATCACCCGTGTCACTCTCCGCCGCCCCAAGAACGTATGAGTTGCGACCGAATCCTTCTTACCCCGCTATCCGCGATCGCTCGGCAACCGTCCTACAGTGAAAGCTCCGGAGGCGTGTCGGCGAGCGGACGAGGAATGTGGCAGCAGTATGGCTAATTCGAGCTCGAAAACAGATCCTCTTCGTCATCAACCAGCCCGATGTCTACCGCTCCCCTACCAGCAACACCTGGATGTACGTGGTTTCTTTTGTGATAACCTCAGACTATCAATGGATGATCCCAAGCTTACACATTGTTCCTACAGCATCTTCGGTGAGGCCAAGATCGAGGACCTGAACTCCCAGGCCCAGGCCTCCGCTGCTCAGCAGCTCGCCGAGGCCGCTGCCAACGAGCACGCCGGTCACGACCACGAGCACGACCACGCCCAGGGCAAGGCCCCCGAGGCTGAGGCCAAGAAGGAGGAGGAGGAGGATGATGGCGAGGAGGTTGATGAGTCTGGCCTTGAGGCGAAGGACATCGAATTGGTTATGGCCCAGGCTAATGTGTCTCGCAAGAAGGCCGTCAAGGCTCTTCGGGAGAACGACAACGACATTGTCAACTCCATCATGGCTCTTAGCATATAAGCGTTGTCACCTTAATCGCACGCGCCAGTGGGTGAGTTGTATCGACCCTGCTGGCAGGCTGGATTGTGGGTATGCAGCCAAAATGATGTCCTCTAGGGTGGATACGTTGGCAAGTCCCATTGTGTAAATCAATTGGCTCAGAAGCAGAATTGAATGATCCAGAAATATTATTAAGCTCTCTATCTGTAATTTGTAGCGCGTGTGCATCTACAGTACTTTTTAATATTCAGGCACTGTAGAGGTGGCACAGTGACAACAATCACTGCATACTTAACTCCTTGGCCTGTCTGGCTGCATCCCGGGTGGTGCTGTGGCCGTTCGGAAGACGGGAAACGCGGGTCACGTGATGCCATCCCCATTCCAAATCTTGCCGAGTCAACCCTCAACCTCCCGGATTCTCCAGCTTTGCACGTTGACCTCCCTTCTCCCTCCCACTCCCTCCCATAACACAATTCAAAATGGCCGCCGTATGTTCCCACCGCCTCTGCCGATATTCTGACGCAGTCAGCCGGCGAGATCGCCCACTAACAGCCTGGATTACAGCGTAGCGCCGCTCTCAAGATCGACTGGACCAAGTTGACCAGCTCGCTCGGTCTCCGCGGTCAGACCGCTGCCTCCCTCCAGGCCTTCAAGAAGCGTAACGACGACGCGCGCCGCAAGGTCCAGGTCCTGTCCGAGCAGCCCCAGACCGTCGACTTCGCCCACTACCGCAAGGTGCTGAAGAACCAGGCCATCGTCGACCAGCTCGAGAGCCACTTCAAGAGCTTCAAGCCCGCCACCTACGATGTCAACCGCCAGCTGAAGGCCATCGATGCCTTCGAGGCCCAGGCCGTCCAGAGCGCTGAGGAGACCAAGGGCAAGGTCGAGGTTGAACTCCGCAACCTCCAGAAGACCCTCGAGAACATCGAGACCGCCCGTCCCTTCGAGGACCTCACCGTCGTACGTTGCGATCGTTCCGACCTTCCGCCTCCATTTTTGCTAATCAGACCATTCCACTCCAGGACGAGGTTGCTGCTGCCCAGCCCGAGATCGACGAGAAGACCTCCTCCCTTGTCCAGAAGGGTCGCTGGATGCCGGCCGGCTACAAGGTGAGATTCCCAACCATTGATTGTGCCAGTGATATAGAAGTCACGAGAAACGAACAGGCTAACCATTTCTTGCAACCTATAGGAGCGCTTCGGCGAGATGTCCGTTGTCTAAACTGGCTGAATCCCTTGTATGCCATTTCCGTCCACCTTTGTCCTGCAACATCCAGATATAGCCACACAACACACAAAGAAAGACTTGCTCTCGTACTTATCTGTCAAGCATGTTGGCCAGCTAGGATACCCTTTTGTCTGTCTGGTCGTGTGATTGCTGGTTGTAGGACTATGTATAGAAAGATGTTCAATTTATGGTTTCTTCATCCTTGTCTGGGTTGTAGGCTGTAGGTTCGAAGTGTCAATCATGGATTGAATATGCATCGTCTGTTCTTTCGATGCTTGTTTGGCTTGTCAAGGCCTTGGTGTGCTCTGGGTACAAAGGAGAGCATGTAGCCGTGCGTGAATGTGATGCAGACACGAAGGCCGACATTTCATGGAAACGATTGTTGATGTATTGTCGTAAATACAGCACCCCAGCCAAGTACCATCATCTTCAGAGTATCAAGCTATACTCCGTCGTCAGACGAAGTAGGATTGCTATGGCACCATATGGACGTGTCATTTATCGATCTCAGGAAATCCGATATCAAGTAGACTGTGTCGACAGCTGTTCTTCCCATATGTCACGATGATCCAAGATAATTTTGATATCTTGACAAAGTAGAGATGTAGTGTCTCTTTCCAGGTAGACTGTGACTACTAGAAGCCACGCATAGTTATCAGGTTACTTCATGTACACAGAATCATCTACCACGTGCAAGTCCACCCGAGGATTCCCCGACCGCCCCAACCACGTTTCCTGTTAAACTCACTCACGTGGAATTGTTATCCTGAACTATATCCAAAGGGGTATGAGCAATACAATCCACTATACAGGAGAATGCTCATTAGTCTTTGCATTGTCCCCTTATATGCAATGAGACATGTTGCCGCATGAAAAAGGCGAGCACTAAACCCACCTAGTGTTAGCAACGGCGCAGCTCTGACGCACAGCGATGCTCGATCTCCTCCAAGTACAGTACATCACATCTCAATTGATTCTTTGCTTCTCAAAGTCCTCACAGTGATCAAAAGCAATGCGTGACTTGAGCATCCAGTCTTCACAGTTCACCCCAGCGCAGGGCCGATACTGAGAAGCGTCTCGCCATAGAGCTTGTAGAAGTGCATACATACCTACATCTACATCGGGAGTCTACAAACGAAATGCCTCCTCCTCCCAGCAAACCAGCCACAGAAGGCTCAAGACTCGAGTCTCTCCCCGTCGAGATCATCCAGGAGATCTTCCTGCACAGTCTCGAGGTCAATCTTCCGCGCGCGTCTCCCCGGCTCGCGGAAGCCCTGTCCACGCCGGCGCTATACACCTGGCTCATCCGGCTCGCATTCAGCAGCACCAATGCCAGCGCCGCCACCCACTTCTTCACACGGGACTTCCTCCCTCAGCCCCTCGATTTCTTCGCGCTATCCCCAGTGGAACGCAGAGACCTGCAGACCACCCTCCTGGCCTGCCGCTGGTGCACCCTGCCGCTCATGCGGCAGTGCCAACGCGACTACCTCCTGCACACGATCCACCAGAAATGCCAGCCGGGGAGGGACTTCCTCTTCTCGCAGCAGGACGAAGCCACCCTCCTCTCGTTGAAGGAGCAGCTATCCAGCCTCATCCACCAAGCCGGCCACACCACCACCACCAGCAGCAGCAGCAGCAGTAACAGCAATGGCCCCGGAAAAGGCGACCTAATCCTTCACGCCCACCCCTACCCCAACCCATCACCAACATCATCAACATCCTCAACCACCACTACCACCACCACCAAACCCCACCGAAGGAACCCCCACAAAATAGCCCTCTACCTCCACCTCGGCGCCCTCCAAATCCGCAGCCCCAACGACATCTACTCCTCCACGCACCCATTCACAGCAACCAGCACCACCACCGCCACCACGGCCAACACCTACCGCCTCCCCACCTGCACCATCCCCAGTCCCACCGGCACATTATCCTCCCGCATCCCCGACAAACTTCTGTCCCCGCCCTGGAGCTCCCAAAAGCTCGAGTTTCTGGCGTTATTGGCGGCCGACGCGTACCTCGACGACACGCCGGCGCACGACCGGTCCCGGCGCGTGCTGCGGCAGACGATCCGGGCGCGGGAGTTTGACGTCTTCCGGACCCTCCTGAGGTTGAGGGTGCGGGTACCCTGGTATGATTTCCCGGTGCCGTGGCCCGTCTCCGTGAATCATTTCTTCGCGGCGGTGAAGTATGCGGATGGGCCGGGGGATGAGTTTGTGAGGGTTTTGGTGGAGGAGAGGTTGGGGGATGTTGAAGGGGGGCTGACGAGGGAGGAGGGGGAAAGGGTGAGGGGGTTGTTGGTACGGGCGGGAATGGGGGGCGTACTTGGGTTATAATCCTTTTCTTGAAGTAGATGTATATCAATGATAAGGGGAGGCCCCCTTACTACCATGTATATATTGTGGGCGGAAGCGGTTGATACTATAATCTCAGGGAACAGTATTACATATGCATATGATATGTAGCTATTGAAAGAATCATATTAATTCAAGGAAGAGAATTCATAAAAACCACAGGATAGGATATCAAAGACCATCAGCAACAGGGAGCAAGTACACAGTTGCGAAACGAAATGAAACACGCAAACTCAAACCACCAGCGTAATCCATAAGTCGTAACCTCATAAAAGATCAGATCAGATCAGATCAGGCGAGATCAAATCCAATCCGAGCGAAGAATAAAAAGAAGGGTATAGCGAACACCCCAACCCATCCCAGCATGGTGTCTTCATCCCCCGCCCCCAGCCCCTTTATCATCACATCTTATCATTCAACATCATTCAACCTCCAGCTAAGACCTAGACCCTCGACCTCCGGCCGTGCGTCCGCGTCCGCCGCCGGTTCCCGCAGTACCCGCAGGTGAGGCACGAAATGATCACGTCGAAGAGGGTGACGATGCCGTCGATGATGGCCTTGCAGACGGAGCCGATGGTGTTGACGATGCCCATGAGGCAGGCGCCGATGGCGTGGAAGACGCTTTGGATCTGTGTGTGTAGATTGTTAGCATACAGCTTTCACCTTCGGGAAGAATGCATAAGTCAGGGAACGTACACAAGAGACGACGGCGCCCATTTTGTTTGTGCTTTCTTGTGTTTGGTATCAGGTATGTGTAGTGGTAGGTAGTAGTTGTAGTGGTGTAGTAGTTCTAGTGGTGGTGTAGTTGTAGGTATAGCTTTGCTTGTTGTCTTTAAGAATGGCAGTGGCAAGTATTCGGCACTTATTTCGAAGTCTTGGTTCCCTGGGACGAATAACTCGAAGAAGCAGTAGTGTGGACAGTGGTATCGGTGAAAGGACGCATTGTATGCTTTTGGATCTGGTTCCCGTGGAGGATGGGAGTGAAGTATAAATATCCGAAGCAGGGGGGACAGCCAGACAGACTTGAAGGGTTGGTTCTCGTAATCTCTCGAATGATGTATGTGTGTGTGTAGTGAGGTTAGTGTAGTGTACATGCCACAACGAAAGAAAAAGAAAAAAGATCAGCATGCTACCGAGTTTCAAACACGGGACAGCGACTGCAAACTGCAAGCAAGCAATGATGCCGTCATAACGACATATGACATCGTTTTTTTTTTGGTTGTTGTGTGGTTCGCGGCGCCATGCCATGCTTTGGTTGACCCTCCTAATGCGGAAATGGGAAAAACCCTTGCGGATCGTGACGAGCGTACTACACTACCCCTACTATCACTAGACTAACTATAGGTCCATGTAGAGACAGTAAGTGAGGACAGGGTCTCGCCACCGATAAGGCTGGCAGGTTCGAGAACCGCATCCAGTAGTAACCGAATCCTTTCGCGCACTACTACTATACCATAGGGACTAGGGACAGCGGCTGAGGGTTACTTCACAGGGTGACGTCATACGTCAGTCCACTCCACTACATACTCGTACTGCCAAAGCACGGTTCGCATTCTAATTTCTGAAGAGGGTTTAAGGGGCACAGTCACACGTGATCCCTAACTTTTCTGATGGCAACAAGCCAATGACATATCTCGGCATGGAGCACAGCCAGTATAACATCATGGATACCTGACTTTCGGGCATGAAGGGGGCACAAGTCCACAAGTCTCCACCTGGTCTGGGGTAAGAAGTCTACGAAAGGTGGATGCAGTGCTTATGACATAGTACGACCCTAGTACGCCCGCCCCCTTTTGTCTTAAGGTAGGGCTTGTCAGGGGTAGACTTCGTCCGTTCGTTTGTGGAAAGTGATGTCCGAGATGATGTTGTTGTGTTGCGCGTTTTTGTTCGGAGGACGGGCGCCGCCGCCGCGGGAGATGGTGATCTGCGCTGCTGTACTTATTACATCTTATGCAGTAAAGTAAAAGTTAAACACTGATGATGTCAATAGATAGCAATGTGCCAGCCACTCAGCCCTATTTGCAAAGGGATACTCTGGGCTGCTGGCAATCCTCATACGTAGCTGGCGGAGCCCCTGCAGAGGTTCGGAGGATGATCCTGCAGTTCGTAGGTGACAACTCCATAGTAAGGTGGATGGTGACTTGGCTGGTGAGCTGGCCCTGGTCGATGTATGTCACTTTGGCGGTCATCCTCGTCAAATGGCAACAACAACAAGCAGGGCCAGAACTGTCGATCACCGAAATCCATGCAGCGATATGATTAATGTGTATGTAAGTACTATGATACAGTCTACTACCCGCCCTAATATACAGGTATACACGCCCCCGTAGGGATACAGTCTAGCCCTACATATTCCCCAACAACCGCAGAATGCCCCTCACTCTGCCCGCCAACGTAATCTGATATCCCGTCTCCACCACCCCCTTACACATCTCCCACGCCCCCGTGCCATTCTCCCGTGCACCTTCCCCTTTATTGATCGGATAGTCCACTCGCGGCGGAATCCTCGTCGCCATCAACTTCGGGAACCGATCCACGCACACGGCCTTGAGGTTACTCACGCCGCGAAGGCCCTCCTCGCCCGCGAACCGGCCGTACCCGGAGCCCTTGACGCCGCCGAACGGCAGCTGCACCGCGTAGTAGCTCCCGAAGTCATTGACCGAGACCATCCCCGACCGGATCTCCTTGATGCACCGGGCGATGTCCCGTGAGTCGTAGCCGAAGACGCTGGCACCCAGGCCGTACTCGGTCGAGTTGGCGATCTCGATGGCATGCGGCACGGAGCTGGCACGCATCAGCACGAAGACCGGCGCGAAGAGCTCCTCCTGCGCGATGCGCATCTCCGGCGTGACGTCCGCGAGCAGCGTGGGGGTGAAGTAGTGGCCGAGGGGGTGCGTGGGGTGGGAGAACCGCCTCCCGCCGCAAACCAGGCGGGCGCCCTGCTTAACGGCGTCGTTGATCAGGGATTCCAGTCGGTCGAATGGGGCCGGGGAGATCATGGCGCCCACGTCAGGGGCGCCCTGGGGTGACAACAGGACGGAGCCCAGGCGGAGTTTGGCGATGCGCGCGGAGACAATATCCAGAAGTCGGTCGTAGGCGCCGGGGAGGGCGACGATGCGTTCGATGCCGATGCAGTTCTGTCCCGCGGACTGGAAGACACCCCGCATGAGGATCGAAGCAATGGCGGGTAGTTCATGCACGGTGCGCGAGTCGTCCAGAATGAGCGACGGGTCCTTGCCGCCCAACTCCACGGTGACAGGCGTCAGGGCTTTGGCGGCGGATGCGCAGACTTTGTGCGCCACGGGGCGGGAGCCAATGAAGGTGAGCTGGGAGATGCCCGGGTGGGAGGTCAAGTAGTCGCCCACACGCGGAAGGCAGACGACGCTCTGGACCAGCTCGCGAGGGTGGCCGCAGCTGGCCAGGGCGCCGCGGATGACCTCCAGGAAGAAAGTCGTGCACCAGGCCGTTTGCTCGGACGGCTTCACCACGATGCCGTTTCCTGCGAAGATGGCGCTGATCACGGGCGAGATGAAGTTGTGGAAGGGGTAGTTCCAGGAAACGCAGGCCGAGACCACGCCCAGCGGTTCGTAGGTGACCATATTCTTCTTGTACATCATGAGGAAGTTCGTAGGGCGCGATTCCGGCGTCAGAGCCTTTTCGCCGTGGTCGAGGGTCCATTTAAGCTTCTCAGTGGTCACCAGGATTTCTCCGAAAGAGGCATCCACCTTGGTCTTTCCAGAGTCCAGGCAGCAGGCGGTAACGAGTTCGTCTTGGTGGTCGAGAACGTATCTATCGTGGGCCCAAGTGTTAGCAACGGACTCTTTCAAGACACTCAAAGAGAGATATACTTCAGCAAAGTCCGTAGAACCTTCCTCCTCTCCGCGAAGCTAGTCTTGGACCATTCTGCCTGTGCTGTTGCTGCAGCCTTAATCGCTTGATCGACGTCTTCCGGGGTCGCAGGTTTGATTCCAGAGCCGAGAACTCTTCCATCAGCGGGACAATAGCTCATAATTAGGTTGTCGTCCCATTGCTATTTCAGGATAATATCGAATGAGTTTCTGATCTCCCGAATCACAAGCAGAAAAAGGACAAGGAACTTACCCCTCGAACCTGCCCCTCAACCACCCTCTTCGCTTCTCCATCAAGCTGATCCCATTTCTGCCCTTCCCAATTGGCTCTAATCTCCGCGGGAATGGGCACATTAAACGTGACGGCAGCTTCCCTCTGGCTCAGAACGTAGACGTAACCCAGATACACCGCGCCAAGCGACAGCAAGGCGACGCCCAACAACGGGCCTTGGATCTGGAGATGTTCCACGATGGGCTGGAAAGCCGGCGGAATGAATTGGGCCAGCGTTTCCATGTTGAGTTGAGAATTCACCGAGTGAACTGGCGCTGTTGGGTTGTGCCAGACACTTTTTTTTCTGGCGAAACCAGTTCAGGAGGGGAGGGAGGGACAAAGGGGAAAGAGTCCGGGTGGTTCGATTGTTTATCGCTCCCTCCGATACGCGGGTGCACGGGCCACAGTGCGGGCTTTGCGGGCTTTGCGGGCTGTCGGTGGGTTCATTCGGGGTTCAACTGGTCGATTCGAGGTCCAAGTATGAGGAATTCACATTGAAGATTATACATACATTGATGTAGCACGATTAAATTAAGTAAGAGTCATTCAGCAAGTGAGCTAGATGCATTATTCTTTGTCTAGAAGGATAAGGGAGGTGATAGTTTCTAGCAATGAGCAACATCGGGGGTATATATATATCTAGGGAGGGGGTTACGCAACATAACCCTATACGTAGTACTCATCAAACACTCAAGCAATGATCCAAGTCCACCTCTCAGACCTCTCCCTTTCTCTTCCCAGTCCTCTTCACCAGATGGTCGATGACACAGCCCTCCTCCCACCGCGCAGAAGACTGTCCCGTGATAGCCCGACATCGCGGACAAGACTTCCCATGGCGGATGAGCAACGAATGCAGCGAATACTTCAGATGGTCCGGGATGCGCACCTCCAGATGACCAAAAGCCGTCACCTCGGTCACCTTGCTAGGCGGCACCCAGCCCAGCCACTTGCAGATGCGGAAGATATGCGTATCGACCGCGAAGCAGGGCCGCTGCAGGCAGAACAGCAGCACGCAGCCCGCCGTCTTAGGCCCGATGCCGGGATACTTGACCAGCTCCGTCATCGCCTGCTCCGTGCTCAGCGTATGCAGGTGGTTCAAGTTCAGGAAGTTCTGGTCCGCGCACGCAATCTCGTAGTTCTTGTGACCCTCGGACTGGTTGTTCAACACCCCCTCCGCCGTGGCCGCCGACGCTTTCCCCTCAGCATCAGCATCGGCATTCGAACTACCACCAACCAACAAATCCCGGCGCGCCTTATTCTCCTCATACACCATATCGAGAATTGCCTTGATCTTCTTACTCTTCACATCCGCCAACCCGCCGCGCTTGATCGCCTCAAAGACCTCCCGCACCGGCGCCCGCCGCACCGCGTCCCAATCCACGCTCCCCTTGCCGATTCCCTCGCGCAGGATCCCAAACCGCTGCACCAGCCCGTTGAACGCCATGGCCGAGTTGTTCCCCGTCGTGGCCCCGCTTAGCAGCGTCCGGATCAGCGCGTCCAGCACGGACGGCACCTCGCCGCACCCCGTCACGGTCAGCGAGGGCTCCGGGATGGTCGCGGGGGCCACGATCTGGCCGTGGATCGACGACAGGAGCCGGTCAACTTCTTCGCATTCGTCGGGCGTCGGGTGGGGCCAGTCGGGAAAGGGGCTGACTCCGGGGGTCAGGCCGTATTGGTTCGCTTTCGCCTTCGCTCGCGCTGTTTTTGCGGGGGGTTTCTTGCTGGGGGGAGACAGGTCGTCATCATTGTGCGATGTGGCTTTGTCGACGGTGGCTTGGAGGTCTTTGACGAGATTGTTGATTGCTTCTTCTTCCTTCTTGATGGGTGAGGCGGAGGCGGAGGTTTCGGACTTGATGCGAGAGTTGGTTGGGGTTGTGGGGGATATCACCGCGCCGAGGTTGTGAGGAAGGTCGTTGGAGTCCTCAATTTGCGGGGGAATAGTGGCGTTGTTCCTCTTGCGCCGCTTAGGAGCGGGTTCCGGGATGCCATCTTCGGTCTTAACCTTGAGGGAACTGTTGCGTTGCGAACGATTTCGTCCTTGGCTGGGGGAGGTCGTGGAAAGGCGGACGCTCGGGACCTGGGATGAGGTAGAGTTGCTGGATTGCGCTTGAGAGGCGGCTAATGCTGCCTGGCGCGCAGTGGTGGAACGGGTTATGCGGACCATCTTTAGATCTTTGGAATGTGTAGAATATGGGACTAAAGTGTTTGAACTAGGAGGAAGAAGACGGTTTAGCAGAAACGACAGAAAATGTACAGGATCTTCCGACGCGGAAGGTGCATTAGGCAGAATCTATCGGTATGTACAAATTATATCATCAATGGATGTAGCATCATCGTCATGAGATGAGTCAAAAAAAAAAGAAAAGTAGTGTAGTTGGGTCACATGATGTGGCGGAATCACTTCCGTTCAGCCCCCTTCAACAGTACGTCATCTCAGAACAACATGTCTTCAAAGGTATTTGACAATCCTGGTAAGGTAAGGGTATTCCAACCCGCGCCTTTCCTGTCATGCACTGAACACACACACACACACACACACACACACACACACCAAGCAGATAGCCACCCTATGTTCTTGCAAAACCACCGTCTACAAAACTCCAAGACTCCTTGGTTCACGCAGTATGCCCCACCAATTGGTATCAACTCAAGACATAACCTCGTAATCAATGATGGTCGCCCATATTGTGAATGCTAATATCCATACGGTCCTTGACCTTGGGGTGCTCCTCCTGGGAATGCTTAGGGGCGCAGATGATGCCCACCTTGGGCACCTCCGACTCGCCGGGATTGGCCGCGGGGACGATGTTGCCATTGGAATCAAGCTTGACCCCGTTGGCAGCCATCTTGAAATCCGTCTCACTGGCGAAACCATGCGTAACAGCCTCCTTGGCGCGGTCCAGGGCCTTGATCTTGCGGCCCTCACCGCGAAGCTCCTCCAGGTGCTCGAAGTAGCCATCCGAGACGGGGGTGATGTAGTTACCGCAGAACACACCGACCTCGAAATCCTGAGGCTCAGCGAGGCCGTTCTCCTGGGCAATCTCGGCACATGCGCCCTTTAGATCGTCTAAGGTCTGGTAGATGACGTTATCGGCACCAATGTGCTTGGCAATGTCCACCACGTTGCGACCGTGGGCAACCAGCTCGGTAGGCGATGCCAGATCGATACCGTAGATGTGAGCATGGCTGTAGTGAATTGTTAGCGAATGTCTCGATCCGGAACCCGGGGATCCAGGGGATACTCACGTGATCTCAGGGGCGCAACTGGCGAAGTAGACCTTCTTGGCACCGGCTTCCCGGGCCATGGTGACGATCTCTCGACTCGTCGTACCACGCACAATACTGTCATCAACCAGAAGGACATTTCGGTCCTTGAACTCGGCTTGCATAGCGTTCAGCTTGCGGCGAACACCCTTCTGTCTCGTCTTCTGTTCAGGCATGATGAAAGTACGGAAGACATAGCGGTTCTTGACGAAACCTTGGCAGTATGGCTTGTCGAGATACCGTGCGACAGCAGCGGCAGAGGTGGTGGATGTCTCAGGGATGGGGATGACCACGTCGATGTCCTTGACCACCTCCGGTCCAAGAATGTCGAGAATTCTGGCAGCAAGACGGTCACCCATACGCTGGCGACTACGGTACACGCTGATTCCGTCGATGACGGAGTCAGGGCGGGCGAAGTAGACGTATTCGAAGATGTCAGGAGCGTAGGCCTTCTTGGGAGCCACCTGGCGGAAGACAGGCTCGGCGCCCTTCTGGATGATGACCGCCTCACCAGGCTGGATGTCACGGATGTTGGTGAATCCGAGCTGGTGCAGCGCAACCGACTCGGAGGCCATCATGTAGTCCATGCCATCACAGTCTGCGGAAGGTCGGGAACCGAGGACAAGAGGACGAATGCCGTAGGAGTCACGGAAACCAAGGATGCCAAATCCTACTGAGGTCAGCTAAGATAATGGATGCGGGGCAAGTGTTGACATACCGGCAAGCATAGCCGTGCAAGCGAAACCACCCTGGCATCTTTCGTACATGCGGCTCAGACTGGCAAAGACATCTTCGTTGTTGACACGGGCCTTCTTGGTCTCGCTCAACTCATCCGCCCAGATGTTCAGCATCAGTTCGCTGTCACTGTCGGTGTTGATGTGGCGGTGGGCCTCGAGGTCCAGATATCTCTTCAGCTCGGGAGCGTTGATGAGGTTGCCGTTGTGGGCCATGCAGATTCCATATGGACTGTTCACATAGAAGGGCTGGGCCTCAGCATTGGCACTGCTTCCGGCGGTAGGATATCTCAAGTGTCCGATTCCCATAGAACCCGGGAGGTCTGCCACCCTGGCGCCGTCATTGAAGACCTTGGCGGCCATACCGTTCGACTTGAGCTGGTAGAAACGACCGCCAGTAGCGCATGTGGCAATACCAGCTGCATCCTGACCTCTGTCTGCATATCGGGAATCATGGATTAGCCTCGAACACGAGGTATTTGCTGGTGTGTACTGCGGAGTGACTCACGCTGAAGCAGGTAGAGTGCCTCATGGAGATCGACGGCAGCGGAAGCCGACGGATTCGCCTGAATCAAAGCGATAATACCACACATCTTGACGGTAGAGAATTCTATATGACAGAAACAGGATAAGGTCAGTGAAGTTCTCCAGACTGAACTCCTGTCAAAGCTAATCAAGGTTATGCAGCTTGAATCAGATCGGAAAATGTCCGCAATGATGCTTAGGAAGTCTAACATCTATAAAAAAAACCGAAATTCATCATAAAGCAGGGGGCAGGGATAGGGTGTGAAAGTTATTTACTGAGGCAGTGAATGATTGACTCACATCTGAAAGGGTATATTTCAAGATAGTCTTGGGAGTACACGCACAGTGTGATGGTAGGGTGGTAGAAACCGGAACTTGGCGAGTTGCAAAAAAGTGGGATAGAATCGAAAACGTCTATAGAGACATAACAGGATTCATGTAAAGGAGAGTGAGGGGAGAAACAGGTGGCAACAATGCCCAGAATCACGTCCACGGAGGAAACAGTGAGCTGGATAACATGGTTAAAGAAGTTTTAGGAGGGAAAGAGGAGAGGAGGGGAAGAAATGGGGATCCCATCTTAATAGATTTCTTCTCGCTGTTCCCAATTTTCTTTTTTCCCCACCACCAACCGAGAGGAGGCGCTAAACCCAAGAGGAAAAATTTCGTGACTCAATTTTACTAAGTTTACTAAGTTTACTAAATTTACTGAATAACACCGCCAGGGCCACCGGCTGGCCGGTTGCTTACATACGGTACCTTACTTTCGGGCAGGGATATTGCCGATGCCGGAGCAGGCGGTCAGCGGTCGGGAGTTCGATCCCGGCTTCGGCCTGGCCTAAGGCATCGACTGCCGTGTTGTAGTTCTCCTCCCGTCTGGCTAATTATTTACCATTTCGGGAAGTCTGTACATCTTCAAGCACAGTTCAGATTGCTGTAGGTTCTTATTCCACACGTCCAGACTTGCTTATGAAAGAAAATCGAATTGACCAGGATGGCTGTCGAAATCACTTCATGTTCATTTCCATGTCTGTCGCATTTCAGCCTTTGTCTGTCCTCTGGAAACAATTCACCGTAGTGATGTCTCAAATGCACCGACTTAGCGGCTCAAGCTTGACTCTCTTTTCTATGTTTTACATCTCCGATGTCTCAGATGGCTGCTGGAGTCTGAAATTTTTGTGTTTCTCTTCTTCCTTCTGCAAACTTTTTCAAATGCTTTAGTCTATATCAAATCCTGCACTCCAGAATCTCTACCTTCCTCTGCATCCCACCCTGCACCTACATTGACTCCGCTGGCCTCACCCCACAGCTGCACTGGCCTGAATTCATTTCGTTCCCTTCATATGGATACTTCCAACTCATCTTTTTGACTCGTTACATCGTTCTGCTCGCCCTGCCTTGGTATCATGTTCAACTTCAACTCCAGAAGTGAACGTATCGAGCAGTGGTCATTCGTCTACCAGACAGCATGTGACTACGATTCAGATGAAAGTAGTGTTACGCTTGGCGATGAATCTGAAAGAGCAGTCTCTCTGAGCTTTGCGCAGGAAGTCCTACAAAATCCACCCGGGCGTACAAATCCCGCACCTTTAAACGAAGAGCGCGAGATCATTGACCTCACTTTAAATGGTTTTGCTCCCGGGGACTACCTGACAGATGAAGCCTACGACCAATTACTGCGGGACTTGAGTCGTGCTGAGCCTCAAACTTCTGCAGTACGATCCCGTCCTATCACAAGGCCAGAGAAACGCCGGTTGCCTGAGGTGTGCCTCAATAGAATTGTGTACAAGAAAGGCCAATCCGTTCAGCTTCACGATGGTACCTTCCTCAGAATTGAAGAAGTTCTGGCAGATCGTTCTGCCGATATCTTCTTTCGGGGAAGACGCCTGATACACACGAAAAACCACAGGGGCAAATACATACCAAGGTGGGACAATGAGCTCGTCTGGATCGCGAATGAGACAATAGACATTCCATCCAACCAAGTTAAAAAGTTTGTCCGGATCACTTTTACGAACTTCTGTATGATGCAGAAGGACTGGGTCAAGCACCACCAACGCCCCAAAGAGCTATTTTGTCGGCTCAAAGAGCATTACGGAGACAAGAAACCATCATCAGTGGAATACCTCACCTGGAATGAAGCAGATGAAGGATTCAAATACGACCCGCCGAAGCTCCGCCGTGCGTGGCGTGGTGAGACCAAGCCTTTTGGAGCGTTCGACCCTGGCGAAGTCGTGGAACTCGATGATGACATGCTGCATCGAATCGGACACGACCCAGTTCACGCTTTGAAGCGACGTCGTCAGTATACATTTGGCGATGCATTCTGCGGTGCTGGCGGCGTTACCTGCGGTGCTCGTGCGGCTCTTTTGCATCCCGAATGGGCCTGCGACAAATCTGAGTCCGCTGTCAAAACTTACAAACGCAACTATCCAGAAGCGAACGTCAGGCTGATGGATCTTTTCACCTTCATTCATTCAAAGCATTCCACTAAGGTAGACATTGTCCATGGATCTCCGCCGTGCCAGACGTTTTCACCCGCGCATACGATCGAATCCGTGACCGATGACGCCAATAGCGCGTGCATCTTTTCGTGCTTGAACTTGCTTCAGAAGTCAAGGCCCAGAATTCTAACCATGGAAGA